CGGAAAAGTAAACGTGCAGGGGGGCTGGAAAAAGCCACAATGGTTTGTTTGATATCCCTCCCATCATGATCTTGCATTGTCATAATTTCATATTTTGTCAAGTAAAATATAAATGACAATGTAGAAGTAATGGGAAAAGTAAGTGAACCAATACAATGAATCAATGAATAAAACGAAATAATCAAGTTTGGCAATAAGTAAATGGAACACTACAGTGAAACAAAATATTAACCAAAGAAAAGAAGTAAGTTTGGCTACAAGCAAATGAAAATATATGTAACAACTGGAAAAGTAAAACAGAAATCACGTCGAGCATTGACAAAGTTAGTACAGACCTTGGAAAGCTTCAATGTACTCTGCAAAGTTGTGAACTTGTAGGAATTTCGACACGTCATCCACTGTCTGGACTTGTGACAATCGTCCATGCTCCTGCAAAAAAATCAAAAATCAAAGTTAGAAATGAAGGAGTTAGAAAAATTGCCTTATAACTGAACACTGTAAAATCTAGTAAGATGTCTAGTGCAATGTTAACGGTTTGTTTTCATAAGAAAAAGTATGAATAGTTGAATTTTAATGCACTCTTTTACCTTTACTTTATTGCCCAATATAACGAACGATTCCAAATTAGTTCACCAATATTTATATTGAATTCTCAAAACAATGATTATATCGACGAAAGAAAATAAATGTTTTTAATAATAATAAGAAGTTAGCATAACATATAACAAATAATGCATTTTTATGAAAACGTTTTAAAGAGCAAGCTGTACGTAGTTTTTTAATGTTGACCACAAAGCAATACAGGCAACCAGTAAAAACTGCATGCGAATCTGTTGTCTTACTCTGTACTATATACTACACTGTATGTATGTATATGTGTTACAAATAAACCATTCATTTATCATTCATTTTGCACAATGACTTAGAAACAATATCTGTCAGTTTTTGAAAGAAATGATGAATTCGTTGCCAATGGAGTCATGGTAAACATTTTGATCTAATCTTACCTCTGGCACAGCGTAAGACATGCCGAAACCCTCATTTACGACCCCACCAGCATTTGATACCACATTCAAATCGTTTGCAAAAGCAGTGTCGATGAGTTGCGATGACACAATACTCTCTCTAAAGGAGGAGAAATATGAAAATGTTTATTAAAACAATCATTCTCGAGTTATGTTGTACGCAAACAAAAAACTATATAAAAACATAATACTCTGCAGCAAGGAAGGAACACGACAGAATAACCATTTTTGAAGTTGAACTTTGTTTCCAAAACCGCTACTCACCTACCAAATATCATTTAACCCATTCACATTTTCTCGAGTTTTGGTGAACTCATATACAATCAACAAATGTAAATGCATAAAAACCCCGTTGCAGTACCACTGAAAAAAGCCAGACCATCCTTTTCACAACATCTACCCACATACTACATATCAAAAAGATCCATCCACAACGAGTTACAGTATCCAGACCCACACCACAGCTGCTCGAACCAAGCCCAAACCGAAAACATACCCTTCTGACGAAGGCAATCATCTACTTCTTGGTGATGTCATAACTGTAATAGATAGGAATATATGATGACATTACCTGGATGTTGTTCCTTCGGGTGGCACATGTATGTCCATCATCTCGTCAGCATGGTTCTCCCTCCTCTCCGTCTTTTTCTGTCTTTTTCTCCTAGCTAACGTATACATAGATTTTTAAAAAGTGTTGGATCATGAAAAGGCTTCAAATTTTGTATACATTAGTTTTGCTATCGTCATTGTTACTATCTCTAAGCAGATATGCTGTGGGTGAAACTCTTGCCTGGGAAAGTAAGCCGGTTAACATTATACGCAATTTTTCTTTTCATATGTTCACCAGGTTCAACAGAACATTGTAAAAGATTACATGTCGTCTCAAAATATCCTTAATACCTGCATTTATTGCAAATTATATTTCTCATCAAAATTTGATCTGTATCAAAAGTGTTTTTGCAAAAAGAATCAAGAGAACTGGTATATATCACATACCAGAAAATTGCTGTCAGAATTATGATGAGAAGTACTATGATTCCCAATGCCGTGCCAACACCAATGCCCACGGACTGAGCATTTGTTAAACCGTCCGTACCTGAAACAAAACAGACAATTCATTAAACTCAAAAGCATTTTCTTCTTGTTATATGTACATAGAACATATCACGTAACAGTAGCCCCTGTATTCTACCTACTTCTTTTCTTATACTTTCTTTTTGAATAATTGAGCATTTCGTTCATGATGGTTTATTTTCAAATGCAATATAGCAGAACAGCTGCCACCTGGCAGCCGAGGCTAAACTATGTGCACTGGTTTACAAAATGAAAGAACAAGTAGGCACCATAGTATTTAGTCTAAAATGACAGATAGGTGGCAAATTGGATTAAAAATCTAACATTACACAATTATTGGATAATTATCTATTTAATTAAAAATATGTAAATATGTATAAAGTATGTTAGTATATAACATAAGGGCGTGCATTAAGATAAATGGTAGCACACAGTAATATATAGGGCAATTATGCCAAAATCAGATATGCCTACATACACTGAATATCTCAGAATGAAATATTATTATATTTTCAACAATACCGTCGTTGACTGTTGTAGATTCCCCATTGCTTTCTGTTGTTAAGCTTGTGGTGCCCGACGTAGGTGCTTCATCAGTAACTGTCGGTGTCGAAGAGTTTCCAATGATGTCTGCTGTCGGTATTGGAGTTTCTGGTAGCATGGCTAAAGTTGTAAATGATGGTGTTGGGAAGATTCCATCGATGTCTGTTGCAAGGGTTTGGGTCTCCAATGACATTACTGAAGGTGTAAATGACGGTGTTGGGGAAATTTCACTAATGTCTGTGGCAAGGGTTTGGGTTTCTGGTAGCATTGCTAAGTTTGTGAATGACAGTGTTGGGAAAATTCCATACATGTCTGTTGTAAGAGTTGGAGTTTCCGATAACATTGCTGAAGTTCCAAATGATGGTGTTGGGGAAATTCCATCGATGTCTGTTGCGAGGATTTTTGTCTCCGATAACATTGCTAAATTTGTAAATGACGGTGTTGGGGAAATTTCACCAATGTCTGTCGTCAGCGTTAGGGTTTCTGTTAGCATTGTTGAAGTTGTAAATGACGTTGTTGGGGAAATTTCACCAATGTCTGTTGTAAGGATTTGGGTCTCCGATAACATTGCTGAAGTCAGTGTAAATGGCGGTGTTTGGAAAATGTCTGTCGTCAGGGTCAGAGTTTCTGTTAGCACTGCTAAAGTTGTGAATGACGGCGATGGGGCGATGTCTGTTGTCAGGGTTAGGGTTGTTGCTGCACTGCTTGTAAATGTTGCCGTATCAAAGGTTCCATCCACAACTAGAGACGTTGACAGGACTTGTAAGAGATGAGATGAGATGAACTGGTTTATTAAATATAGTACATTACACACCAAAAGTACAACATCATAGTCCTGGGGCTAAATTGCAGCGTACTATGATGGATTATACATTAGTCCAGCGGCATGGCACTTTTGTCTAAAAGCACCAAAGTTGGCACAGATGTAGTTAAATATATTTTATGCAAATCTGGATAAGAAGGCATTTCAATTTCTGCCCATAAGCGATTTTCTGACTTAGCGACTACAATTCAACACTCATATCAAGTGTTAACTACTCTATTGTTCTTCCTTGAAAAATGATTTTCTTTGGTTAATTTTACCCAAAAATGTACATTTTGGGCTCCTGTGTCGTGAAATTTGCTAAACAATACTATGACCCGATATTTACATGTTAAGGTCACAAAGCATTCATGACTTTGACACAATATGGCAAGGTCGTTGTTTTGGGGGTTAGCGTTGCCACGTATATATATACGCCACTTATAATATATAAATGCCGATGTTGGTTGGGTCCAATTGCTGTTTGCTGTACCTGAATCACATCGAATGGAAACCCATGTCTCAGGCACACAATAACAGTCAAACGACGATCGATTTGATAATACTAACACTGAACATTTTTATAATAATAATACAAGTGTTAAGTGTTCACCTTTATATAAGTGATATTTCCAACAATGTATGCCTGTATAGCCAGACAGTGGTTCTGTAAACCAGCCATAAATCCAACCGTCGCCTACACACGTACACACACACATACAAGCACGTATTTTAATTGCCCCTTTTTACCAGAAGATATGCCTTTCCAGCTACCTACTCTACTGATAGAGAAGTGTCGTGCTTATAAGCTTAGAATTAAGCAGATTCAACGTGCATTTAGTTAGAGGACTATTTTATAATTAGAATCCAAAGTAATGGTTATATAGATGACTATCAATACCTCACGAGAAACAACAATAGCGTCAAGACTTCCATATCCATAAAGCTTGACCAAAATAAAACTCACCGACAGCTATGGTTAACACCACGACCAGAAGTTTCCTCACGCGTCCAAACATTGTTCAAACGTCTTGCTGTCCTACAATCAAAAATCTGAGTGTTCCTTCCTCCAGTAATCCATGTACCATATATTGTAAACTTGACGTACGTTTACGACCCAGTTTTTCTGTAGGCAAGAACTATGGTGGGTCAACCCATACTACTGACATCCTATAACGTGATCATGGAAAATGGGTCTGCACTGTACTGGCACGTACTCGCCATAGCTATGTGACCAAAGAGTTTTAAACAAAGTCAATAGCTGGTACAGTGCAACGGTGTAATGTGTCAATATGTAACAACTGTGACAATGGCGTCGACCTCACTATTTGTTTGCTTTCTAAAGCCCCTGTTAAGCGTTCACGAATTTGGCCTCTCAAACGCTAGCCGAATGCCCGACGACCAATTGGTAATACTAAGGTCACATTTCCAAGCCGGGGCCCGGCCGGGCTGTTTCGATTAACGAAAAATCAACAATATATATCAAGAATATACGCAAATAGTTCCCATCATTAGATTTCAACTTTTTTGTGCTTTGTTGTCTTTCATATCATACGTTTCCTTCCATAAGACTGCCCGGCCGGCCTCCGGTTTGGAAATGTGACCTCAGCATTAATTAGGAGTGGGTCGGCGCAAAGTCGGCCGGGTCGGATGGTGTTCGGCGAAGTTGGCTACGATTCGGCTGCGCCAGCCGAATGTTTCGAAATATCTAAACCATTCGTGGGGCGTTCGGAAGGTTCGGTCATAGTTCGCTGGTTTTCGACAGTAAGTCAGCAAAACACCAGCGGACCATTCGGCAGAAAAGCCAGGAGTGTTTGGGGCGAGCCGAACGTCAGCCGAACCTGGTTGGCTGGTGTTCGGGAAATGATTCAGGAAAAGGTTGTGTCAGAGGTGTGACAGAGTTAGGTAAAGTTAAAGAGCCTTCCCGTGTTCAAAAGCCTTGGGCCACACACAACAGTTATTACAGTAAGGGGCTAGTCCACTGGTAGTGGTGTGTGTTTTTAAACACACACCACTACCAGTGAGTTAAAACTCCCATACTCATTCTCAAAGGCTGAGTGCTAAGCAGAGAATGCAGTATGTACCATTTTTAAAGTCTTTGGTATGACTCGGCCAGGGATCGAACTCACGACCCACTGAATGCAAGGTGAGAAATCTACCCAATTGGCCATTGCACCGGTGCAGAGGCTTATAAATAAATGGTTAGGTCACACGTAACGTTACATGAACGTGCCTATTCAGCCATAAACTTACGTGTTCTGTTGGAAAAGCTGGCTGACCATCTGTTGTATGGTCACGCTCCTTCGTGGTACAGAAGCGCCGTCTAGTGAGCATTGAAGGTACTCCAGATATAGACAATACGCCTTAATCCATGCCTTCAAGAGTTATGCCGCATAAATTTAATCCACTGTCGCTCCCGACATACCCAAAACGACCTCATAGCCTTCTGACGAAGGCAATATGTAAAACCCTCTCATTAGAGATCAGTGTTAACGTTGAGACTGTGTACTTCTGTGAATTTGAGACATACAAACTTTAAATGTTGGAGTTCACGCGTAAACACTGACAGAGACTAGGCCTTACGTCTGCTTGGATTATCAATATACAGAACTTTATTGACACAACAAAAGTACAGCGACTTTCGTAAGGCCTTAAACTACATGTAAACATACAATTACGTGGGTACAACAAATTTGACCTACGTACAAAACCATGGATGAATCAACGTATACTATTTTTTCTAAGGTCTAAACATTCTTTGATATATTTACCTATTTGTACACAGTAAGGGTTATTACCTTCTAGAATGAAATTGTGGATATGATATAGTGGGCAATCCATAACAATACGTTGTTCGTCTTCAATCTTATGAGGACAGGAAGGACAAAACCTTTGGTCGCGGGGATAATACGTAACTCAATGACCACTTATCGTAGGACTACCAGATTTTCAAAGAATGACGTCTTCAAATTAGTACGAATTATGAATATTTATGATAGAAATTACATAATTGATTAAAAAAAGATGTTATCAATGTCAGAAAAGACGTGGAATTAAACATAAAATCCTGATAATTTTACTGTTCAAACAAAAAAACTGGCGGTCAGAAACCGGCTCTCATGGCAACATGCAAATCTATGAACTTATCACAAGAATATAAAATTTTTGTTGCGAGATGTATTTCAGGAAAAGTTACGAAATTTGATGGTTCTAGCGCAAGCCGTTCGGGCACTATCCAACATGAAAGTTTGCCTTAAAAGCCCCCCCCCCCCCGTCTGACTAAAGGGGATTACCAAGTACGCCCATTCATAATTGATATGCATGTCACGTATCCCGGATATATGACTCATCCACTCGGCACACAGAAACCATATTTCATCACCAACGAGCACACCGAAACGGTCGGTCATTTGAAGATGGCGTTTTGCATTGTCATTGGCTGCTACTTTTAGACCAAAGCCGGGAACTTCGTAGGTTTCGGTCGCTGACTTTAGCGATTTGGTAGGTAAACATGTCAATACAACGGACATATATATTCCTGCATTCGACGAAGGTGACTGCCAGTCGCAGGTGGAACACTGACAGCTTGGGTCTTAGTGTGTGAGCGTCACTTTGAAACTTGCAACACTTCTCTGAATGTCCTGTACAACTTGGTTCACCTGCGAATAGTGAGTACTCCTACAAAACATGCTACCTTACTGATGCAATTGTTCTTTGTGATAAATGCTGGTAGCTATTGAAAACATAAACTATGCCGTGACACCTGGCGATTTGTATTTATTTAATTCGTAAAAGGCAGATGTCCTCTTACAAAACATGCCCTTCTACGGAATTGAGAACGTTTTGGAATACAGTCCTGTTCCAAAATGTTCTGTTCCAATAGTGTGCTGCGGTATGATTTAGAATTTGAAAAAGCACTACCCAAGTACTATGTAATTTATTTAAAAGCCTTGTCCTTCTGGTATTTTTTACACAATATTTTTTCAATAATTTCATGTCTAAATCAGGTCATAGACCCCAGACTTTTTAGCCCTACGGTGGTGTTGTTACTTCCGCATTCATTGAGTTTCGCTGCGGTGTGATGCGTTGCACGAGAAATATCCCCCATATCGTACTATACAGGGTGCTATAAGGCTGGTACTGTATGTGCAACCCAACAATTGTTGGGTTAAAAGAAGCAGTTTGAAATGAAGTCAGTAGTAGGGCCCTGAAGAAATACATCATGTTCTTTACTTGGCGAAGGCCTTTGAATTGAATCTATATGACCCTTCGATAAATTCAAATGTCTGCATGGTTTAAAAGCAGGGGGATGTCATCAACATGTACTAGTGAATTTCAGTAAATGGAGAGGACAGATTGACCCACAATTACGACCACAGCTCTTTTTTTTTTC